AGTGCACTATAATTACTGTTTTTGTTAGTAGCCAGCATGCTAATAACCATCGGAAATTGATGAAAAACAAGTTAATTCAAACATTTTACTACTTTAAATGATTTTGACACTCAGAGTATATTTATATACTTTAAAAACTCAATTTTTTTCTGATATATTAAATCATTTCTGTTATTAGACTCTCATTATTGGTCAAGCGATTGAAATTTACATATCACTTACACTGCAAAGATGTTTAAACTAAGATGGACAAATTTCGTTTTCAAAGTGTTTTTTTTTTTTAATTTTAGGCAATATCCCTATTATAGTTTGTATTCCTGATAATAAAATCTAATAATGGTCAAAAGTTATTCAATGCGTAAAAATTCAAACGAGTTTTACAACTGAATCTCAGATTGAATCCATTGTGAAATACATAAAAAAGTTATTGTTTTTAAAGCTATTTTGTCACATTATTATAGAACATAGGGTTTCAAAAGGGGCTTAACTAGATGAAATATTCCATCTATAAATTTGCAGGAGACCATAAAAATAACACATTTAATATCGTTTCGAGAATGGATGATAAAAAAAATGCAAATAGAAAACGCTTCCCTGTGAATTATATGGACCGAAAATTATTTATTTATACGTTACATGGATTACACGATTAGGCATCTCATTTAGCTCGAATATCTCAAACCAAATGTTTCTGTTTAGATATAAATTAACATTATGGACTCTTGAGAAAACACTCGTACCGATGCAAAATGGCAAATTAGGTTAACAAACTGATTTTGTAATCTAGATTGAATTATTCACACAAGTGTATGAACACGGAACTGTGTGTAGGAGCGATATTTAACACGAAATAACAATAAGACTACATTTCACATTGTTTTAATATAGAAAATCTGTTTAGTATTCATAAATTATTTAAGCTCATCGAGGCAAAACTATAATATGAATGAAAATATTCATTGTAACTATATTTTATGGCCGTACAAATAATTTCATGTGATTAAGTTGAAATTTTTTTTTTTAATAAAAACAAATTATTTTCGGTGTTTTCGATTTCATATTGAGTTTATTTTTTATGAGTTACTCAAATAATGTAATCATTCAGATGAAGTATATACTTGACCGAGATAAAATAAATCGACCCAACCTCACTAGTCATAATGAATATTATTATTTATTTATATTTTTGGCCCCGACCATTGGGGTGCGTAATGCATTATTAAGTTTAACATTGAAAAAAAGATGCCCTGCAGACTTGAATAATTTAAGCACATCCGATACGCGAATCAAGGATTTTTACCCGAGGGCATTATTAGCGTCGGAAGGGCAAAACAGAAATATTATCGAACAAAATATAACCATCACACAAATGATATAGGTTATTCACGCACACACATATCGTTCTTAAATTATTTAACCGAGTATGAAGCAACATGGTTATTGCTTTGTAACTCCATACTTCTGGACCGAATCCAAAAAAGTTTTCCGTTGTCTTCTTAAGTTCAATGAGTTAAATAATGAGGAGTAATATATCCAAAATGAAAAATGTGCTGTATGAAAGAAAACTGAGAAATTCACTCTGTTCGATGAAACGCTTACGAGCAAACAGTTTAACATCAACTCGGTTATAAATTACACTGGTGTCACAACGTCACATTTAAACAATTGAAGCATTTTTCATTCGACCAATTGAGAAAGAACCAAAAAATCCACAAACGTTCAGATTCCCGTCAACCATTTCATAAATAATAGAACTATCAACTGATGCAAAACGGTAAAAAGGAAAGCTTTATAGTAGAAATTATAGCATTTTGCTATACTTCTTACCCTTTGGGATTTTACTTTGGTCAAATAGACATGCGCGGGTGGAAAATAATATTTTTATACAAAACGTACAAAATATATTATATGTATATATGTTTGTGGTACATAAAACACGCACAGGATGTGTCCCTAAGGGTTTGTTAGAATACATTCTAAGGAAATCAAAAAATTTTTAATTAAAATTTTTTTGTAAAACAATTTTTTTTTGCCAGAATATCCATTATGAAACTATTTAAAATTAAATCTTATTTTGTAATTTACTCATGATAAACCGAATAAATAATTGAATTATTCCTCGTTTTACAATAAATTCCATCGGAATATATGTTTCATTAATAGCGTTTGGTTTTATTATAATATCCTTTCTTGTGTAAATTTGGTTTAAGTTAATGTTGATGGCTAAACATTTTAAATGGCTTCTATTGATTTTATTCACTGTAGTTAATATTTTTAGAAAAAAACTGTCTATTATTTTGCCACAACCTGAAATCCATTACTGATGACAATAAAACATTATAATAATTCATTCATATTAAGTTAACTTTATTAAACATTGTAAACAATAAAGCAAAGTAAAAATACATTGTACACATTATAACACGGTGATACTTTTAACACTGGACACTCAATTTATTTTGAAACAATAATTGTTAAGAAAATAGGAACGGTTTGGCCAAGTCGGTAATGCAACTTTTTTGGATGCGCTATGGTCCGTGTTCGAAACTTGGTCATGAGCGGCTTCATTTACTGAATGAAACATCAGTTTAATATTTGGTGTTGTCATCTTTCTCACTGACAATGGTCTAACCACTCATCCTAGAGTATACATGGTCAAAAAACTTTTTCTTAAGAGAGATTGTAATTGTTCTCAACGAATGGTAAAGAGCGATAAAAAAAAGAATTGTTAAGAAAATTATTTTTGAAATTTTTAGTTTCATGTAATTCTTGATTTATCAGTCAATCACTAGTTTTAAATTCATTCCTAATAACTTATTATAAAAAGTGTCATTTTTTTTTAATTGTAACATAAATATTTAACTGATTTATTATTATTATTATTATAAAAGAATTTTTTTTTTGAATATTTACAATCTACAAAATAGGTGCAATAAGTAAATGTGATAAAATATGAAAATAACTTTAATAGCATAAATGGGTAGCTCATGTTAGAGCTCCTCATAATAATAGGAAAATATTACAGCATGTAAGTTATAATATAAATTTGTTTATTTTTTTCGTCCTTTTTTCTTAGATGATTAGGTAGTTGATCTATTTTTATAACACATATTTTGAATTTAATAAAATGTTTGAATTTTTAATATAACTTTATTTGTTTATTAGATATAAACATTTAAAGTTTCAAATTTTTGAGTTAATATACAGGTATAATATACAAGGGATAACAAATATAGGTTGCTAATTGGTTTTTTATGACACTGCTGTCACAGTCACGGATTGTTTATTATGACTGTCAATAGATATACTTTTTGTATTGTCAGTTAGTGTATTTATAAACTCACAACAATGTATCTTACTATCATTGATAATAACAATGCTGTGTACCTGCTAATATCGATGTCATAAAAAACCAATTAGTTACCTATATTTGTTATCCCTTGTGTATTATACCTGTATATTAACTCAAAAATTTGAAACTTTAAATGTTTATATCTAATAAACAAATAAAGTTATACTAAAAATTCAAATGCCATTTATTATTAAATTAAAAACTCAAACATTTTATTAAATTCAAAATATGTGTTAGCATTTAAAAAAACAAAGTTGACACCCTTACCAGGCATAAGGGATGAACTTAAAGTATTACATAGTTAATAATTCAAGAATGATGTGTAACTAAAGATAATCGAAAAAATAATGTTTAATTTATTATTATTCTGTAAGTAATTGAGTGGGTTATGATAAAAAAAGTCATTCTGTATATTATAAAGACGGTTTGGCATATGAAGATTAGAAAAAAGTAAAGGTCTTAGTATATGCAGACGGTTATATAGAATGTTCAGTAAGTAAGGAAACGGGTTTCCATTGTTCTTATTGTTTGTAACAATTAACCTTTTTCCTTACTTACTGATCACACCATATGTAGCTTGTATACAACATGTATTTGATAGTTTATCACCTAATCTGAATTTAAAGGATCTATTATAAGTAAGAAATTTAAAAGTACGATCTAATAGATAATAGAGTGCAGGAAGAAAATGTATAACCTTAAATAATAGTCTATGGTATCACCATAAAAAATCAGATGCTTGGGCCACGTCTAAAAATTCTCCTGGTCGGATTTTTTTTTGTTTTAAGTGATTGGCAATGTAATCAAAAACAAATAAGAAGTAGAATAGCGAAAATCAAACTGACAGTTAAGCAGTGACTTGATTTCAAACATAGATTAGATTAAATTATTTAAATTTGATTGATTTGATTCAATTAGTTAAGCATAGATTATAAAATAAACAATGATCTATTTAAGAAGGTGACTGGTTGAAAACAACTTTTATCCATTATTTTAGGTATTATTATTTTTAAGCTAGTTAAAAATATATTTTACCGTTTAAAGAATAAATTGAACACCTTACAAAGCGTAAGGGATAAATTGAAAGAGTAATTAATAACGGAAAAATCCAAAAATATACGAGACTAAAAAATACCAAGAATAATTTTCTTAACACAATTATTATTTTAAGAGAAATTGAGCGGCTAGTGTTAAAAGAATCACCTTGTAATATTTATAGTCAGGAAAATGGAAAAATCCTAGACTGTAAGAAATGTTAATAAAATATATTTTGTACTTGTCGAATGCATGTAAAACAACAACGCCTTGTTTTACATGGATTCGGGATGGACTTTATAACAAAAATGTTGTTTTACATCGCGTCAATAACATGAAACTTTTTATCGATGGCGATAATTCTAACACTTGTATCATTATACTCCAAATAAATGATAGTCATGAATAATTTTTATACTATCCGTAATAATTGAATTGTTACAAAATGTTTCCCGTACGTTATCCACAAACAAAATTAAATCAAGCCCCTGTAAACAAACCTGAAAAAAAAAAAAAAAAAAAAAACGTTAATAACGGTTGATAAATAAAATATATTCAATAGAACAATAAAATTTATTAAAAATTTCATTGATATTTATCTTTTATGTTTTAGCTGCGAAAGCACACGTCATCGACACTGTCGATCACCAGTGGAATGAAGGTGAGCGGTTCTGGTGGCCGAGGCGATAGCGGCGGAGCGGGCGAGGAAGCCGGCATAGCATTGGTTAGCATACATTCCGACTATCCTCGCTTCACCGAAGAACGTACCGGATTGGTGTGCAAGGTACATATTTTGCATGCTTGTTTAATTATTACGGCGCTGTGGATTTGCCAGTGTAACGGTTGTTGTTATTACACACTCGGTTTATGGCAGTATAATTTTCCTGCGGCAACATAAATATTTTCGTTTATGTGACATTATGTAAATCACATCATCAGTGTTATAATTGCCACCCAGTTTTCATCTGCCATACACTCAGCTGTCATATGACATCTGAATGTATAAAAATCGAAATGGTCGTTTCTTTATTTTGGCGTTTTCAAACTTTTAGGTCATTGGATAATTCTAGAAAGTCCAGAGCTCACATATAATAGGACCACGCTTATTTTATTAACTTCAATGTATCCGATCAATGTAACCACCGACTTTTTTCGTTATTATTACATGAAGGTTATTTGAGTAAAATCTAGTTTTGATAACCTTTCACCTTTACGAGCCGAATAGAAATTGAAAATTCGAACAAAATAATAGTATTTCAGTTTTTTTACATCATTTCTAGAACTATCATACTTAGAGTAAAAACATATTAGTATATAAATTATAGATTTTAATATTTAAAAAAAAAAAAAATGTTTTTACAAAATTCACTTTTGAACACTCTATATAATTTCTAACTTTCGAAAAAATTATTATATTATTATGATTCGTGTGAAAAATATGCGACATTAAATTGTCTAAAATATTGGTTTTTTATCAAATTACTGCGAGATATATACATTTGCTGTATAATAAAACTAAATGCGATTGGTTAAAACGTTTTATTCAGCGTGATATGATTATAAATAGAGTACTTCCTCCGATTAATTTTTCTCCAAGATATATTACTATAAGCTCCTGAAATTCTTTATAAACATAGCCAGGAAAATAGTCTTGTAATTTTTTTCCTCAATCATTTTTTAATATAACTAAAATCATTGGATAATCAAACCCCACACAATATATTCAACTGTCCCAATCTTTAACAAATCTCTTATAGAGTGTTATATTTGGACTAGACTGGAACAATTTTTGCTTAAAAAGAATTGCTTGAAGTATTATTTCAAAAATGTGATGTCTTATGTACTTTTACTAAGCATCATTTAATCGACCCGAGTTACATTCTGTTATAAGACCTAGAACTTTTTTTTAGTAATTCCTACTCTTCTTGTTAACCGTAAATTTGTCAGGGTATTTCATTACCAGTACCAACCGATAAGTGAGGTACACTTATAAGCTGTACAACTTTTGTACTATTGACAACAACAGAAAGTCGATCGCATTTTTATTTTCCAACTATTTTAGGTAAAATTTTTGAATCCCAATGCGCTAAAGCGAATTCTATGTTAAGTTCATAATTAATAAGATTTTTTTTTTACTAAGCATATTTATGCAAATTTATGTAAAATTTCTCGAGTTAAAGTTAAAACAGCAATTCTTCACTTAAACAACTTTGGTCAGAATTTAAAGAAAATAAATTTCATTTCTCCTAATTTTCCATTATTGATTAGTGCAGAATGATTCGCAAATATAAATTTATACATTTATTAATAATTGTTCGCTTTTCTAATGTTTTATAAAAGCAAGGAAATATTTTGTCTCGATACAAAGAGATGTTAAATATTAAATAAAAAAATTTAATTAAAAACTCGATCTTTAAACTTATATAATAATTAAATTACCACGTTTAGTTAATATTTATGAAAAGCTAGTAGTGATATAGTGGTCGTAGTATAATTAGATTTTCTTTAGCAATCCAAGTCAATTATTTTTTAATGAATCAAAACTTTAAATTACTAAAACAAAAAATTGCTCTTATACCTCGTCAAAGTCTAGATATAAGAGTAGCATTTTATAAATTTTTTATTTTTATGACAGAAAAACTAAACAAATCATTTCTGAATCACTGAATAACATCATTAATATAGTAGAATACTATAAACAGTATTTTTATCATTGTTATTTTAGTCGTTTGTCAATAGATGATTACTTTTTATTATGCACTTTTATTTTTATTTTCTTATTGATTTATAATTAATTGATAAGTCATGATTTATTCAAAGCGTATAACTCAATTTTAAGAGATTGTTTTAAATGATTTCACACAGTATAATTAAAGCTATTCGGTCAATAACTCTATTAAATTATATTTCTCAGTACTAAGTGTTTGGACAAGTTCCAATATTTGAAAAAACCAATTACAAAGTGATTTGACGTTAGTGTAAAAGTCTTTCATAAGCAACCTCTTTGCAAATTACCTTCTTTAATTAATTGACTGAGTAGTGATATTTAAATTTATTTGTGATTTTATATTATATTTGCGATGAAATAGAACATGTACAGTAATTACTGGTTATTAATAACATTCTGTTTACAATAATTAGTTTATTTTTTTTTTTTTTAATGGTGAATATTGAGTAGTTTAATAGGATTTATTATTGTGATCTACATAAATTATTAAATTTTTATTCAAAATTACCTTGAAAATATTAATATTATTTGAATAATTCAGATTATTTAGAGGTGCACTCCAGTGGTTAAATTTATTAATATATGAAATTTTAGCTAATAGACATGACTTAATAAATTTTTTTAAGACGATTGATAAAGTAAATTTTTTATGTTTTATAAAATAATATCATGAACATTTACATTTATTCATTCACATATAATGATTACAAGAATTTTTTCCTTAGCACGTACTAACCGACTATTTGGTGAAGAATTTGCTTGTCTCTATTTAAAATCTAAAGAGTTTTTATGCTTCATGTATCACGTAAATACATATATAAGAAACCATAGAATCCATTTAGTGAATAACCTCAATGCTTTTTAAAGACACGTTGTCAAAGATTTCCAAATCTTTTAGACGACAAAAAGGCTTTTTGTGATATAGATAAACTTGAAAAACGAATAAAATAATACTGATTATATTTTAAATTAGTTACGTTTTTTAGACATATGAAATTCCTTAAGTTTGGGATTTTCTTACACATTTCATATCATATTTCATCTAATTATAGAAAACAAAAATTTATTCTTGACACCCACTCATAATTAAAACTTATTTATTTTTTCAAAAGTAATATAATAAAATAATAAATCAAATATTTCTATGATGATTTGGAAATGTTCTAATGCTTTATTTAATTTTAAATATTTAAAATAATCAGCTAACGTTACTTAATGTTTTATAACTATAATTTTGATACATATATAAGTGTTAAAATAAAATGTATACCAAACTATTGTAAGTCATGTCTGAAGCATAAAAACTTTTTAACAAACATTAATATAATTTTTTTTTTTTATAAAAAATATTTTTATTGTTTGATTATATTATGACAATGTATAAACGTAGATTTTAATCAAATAAATGTAATATATTCGTTAAATATATAAAAATAATAATATTTTCATCAATACGCAATGCATAAGTACATTTGATGATTACTAAATTTAAATTGAATTTATGTTTCAGGGCGCTAGCTTAGTAGGTTCCAGTAGTAATGTAACCGGTAGTAAACACAAACCAAATGTTGGATACAGACTGGGTAGGCGTAAAGCACTTTTTGAAAAACGAAAAAGAATAAGTGATTACGCTCTAGTCATGGGAATGTTCGGTATTATAATTATGGTTATCGAAAACGAATTAGCTAGTGCGGGCGTCTACCCAAAAGTAAGTAAAATCGAATTTTTTAATAGATGTTAATAAGGTTCATTGATTTAACTAAGAATCAATACATTTGCTCTATTATAGTACATACATATTATACTTATTTTATTCATACACTCATAAGTTATTTTTAAATTTAAAAATATTAAATAATTTTGATTGATAACAATTTTATAGATAAAAATAAAACTTAAAGTAAAATTGTAAATTTTTTTCAATGTCCTGTTGGATGACACATAATTAAAGACTACAAAATTCTATTAAAACTGTAAAATTGATCAACCTATCGAATATTTAACATATAAAATTAATACAAATTTATATCCTTAATAACACTCCTTATGAAATAAGAAGAATAGTTTTAAGATACCGAAGTTAAAATATACTACTATAGTTACTTTAGAGATAGCAATAAATCATACATTGTCCAAATCGTTTGAGATTTTGTAACTAATAAATTTTATGTTATAAAATATAATCAAGAGCATATATATATGACATTCGAACTTAATTACAACCGAGTCTTTTATCTTAGAAAAATATGATAGTAATAATAATTTTAACAATATCAATAAATAATTTTACCATTGAAATGCCAAAAAATAATAACGACATATTTCTCTAAGTGTGAAGAAAATATTTTATATTAGAAAGTTAACTGTACATCTTAATTATAAAAATTTTACATTGTTTTTACAACCCTAATTACTCGTTGCAAATGAGCGGATCCAAAAAAACGAGGGCTCACAAATTAGACGAATTTATAAATAAAATTAAGCTACTGAAATGACAGCTACTAGTTACTGTGTTAAATAATTCCTATTTGCTTATAATAAGCACAGAAGATAAATAGTAGGTATTAATATGAGTGAGCCACATAAATCTCTAAAGCTTGTTAGAGAAAATCAATTGAGTACATTTGCTCATTGTCTAAACACTATTTATATAACAACGAATCAAGTTTCTGACAAACTGTAGATAAACGAGTAATCATGTAACCTGATATGGAAAGCTAAAATAATTAGTAGGAGTTACAACGATTAAATGAAAAATGTCAAAACAAATAACGTTCATAATAGAAAAATTGAAAAAATAAAATAGGACTGTGTAAAATAAAACAGCTGCTTTACACCGTATACCATGTTATTAAAACAGAGAATATAAAAAGCATTACGAGCGTCTATATGGAGACAAAACAATGAGAATATACAAGATATATCGTACAGCAATATGATGGTAAAAATTGCATAATAAAAAAAAATATCGGGAAAATGATAGTAAATCATACTTGATCCGATTTTTCCATTTACAAATAACAATAATAAAACTCAATATTTAAATAAATTATGTAAATAATATAAAAGGAATTTTTGATTAAATATGTTTAATAAATTCATAATTTAAAAACAATGAATTGTAATTGAGCGGTTGACTAAAATTACATAAATTTGATTATTTATTACATTATTCAAACAATTCTGTGATAAATTATACTGTAACAGAAACTATCATTTTCACCAATCTCTTTATTATTTATCCAATTTATTTAATTCACATTTTTTTAGTCATCGACTAGTTTTTCTCTTTGCATTTACTTATCAAGCCAAAGTAATTGGACAAGTTTAGCATGCAAAAACTCTTTTCATTTTGTTCTGGGAAATTGTCTCGAATAAATTAATAAAATATGCAAATATATAACCTAAGGAATTTAAATGTAAAACAAAAAAACAAATTTACCTCAAAATGAAAATAGTTTCACCCTTAAGTGTCAAATGATTAAACATAAATAATATAAATTTTATAAGGACAAATACTTTGTATGTGAAAATTATTTAGAATAATAATGCAATGTAAATTAATTATTGATTTGATAATGTAATCACTACTTAATAAAAAACTAATAAACTGCATGACCTGCTAGATATTCAATTTTGATAAAAGGGTACTTAAATTTTAAAAATAAGTTCTGTCTAATTACCATATTTTTTTTATAATCCAACAAATAATTTTTCACTGTGAAATTATTTCTACAGTTCATAGCCAAAAGCTGATATGTGACAAACTGATGTTTTTGAGACTTTTATTATTTGTATAAAATATAATGTTACTTGTCATGTAATACAATATTACGGGTCACTTTAATCAGGAAGTTTTGTTTTTTAGAACTCGAAAATATCATTTTCATAAGATATTATTGAAATTTTTATTTGTTTTTACTTTTCTGAAATGATACCAAAATAGCCATATCAGATTTTGGAAAATAGCTGTAAAGTTATTTTTTACGTAAAAATAAAATAATTTCCAACTTCATATCATTGACATTAAATGAAATTATTGTACATCATAAGTTATAAAAATTTAATAAAAATACTTATTTAAATATGTATTTCGATAGATAAATAAGGTATTTCAAATTATTCATGTAGTAAATGTTTTTTTTTTTCTGTTACGAATTCCATCCGGTTTTTAAATAAAATAGTACTATTTTAGTAAGTGTTTACTATAATAATGTTTTTAAACGAACAAATTTGTCTTTAATTAATAAACATTATTTTTATATTATGTCTTAATTTGTATAAAAAAATATGATTAGTTTTCAGTTTAAGAGATAATATTAAATAAATGTATTATTTTTGTATAGAGACATCAGCGCTTTTTATAAAAGTCAAGATTAACTTTATGTCAAAATTGAGTATTAACGCCTACAAGAAATAATTTGATGAAAATGTTTTTATTCAATTTCTTTTCAATATATAATAAAATGTTTAAAAAACACTTTCATAAAATAATAAAAATGTATACAGTTAACACTATTTAAGTTCAAAGTTATTTTATTTTAATTTTAAATGTAAAACTTTCAAAATGTAAAATCAATTATTTAACTTAAAATTACTTTAAAAATATTTATTATAAAGAGGAAAAGTTTTAAAAATTCAGTTCATTGAGCTACACATAGCATACCCTTGTACTAAATGTGTATTAAATTATGCATACAGTTTGAGGACCTTCACAATCATTTAGAACTATTTTTGGTGAATTAAGTTTCTCATACATATATTTCAATTTTATTTTTATATAATTTTACATAGTTGTCAAAAATTTCTCAACTTCAATTATGTAAACAAAGATGATTTCATATTTTATATGTATCAGAATACAATTACTACTATGAGTCTTTTTAGCCATTTGAATAATTATAAAACCGCCATATTTCAATATTTAATGAGACAATCAAATCAATAATTTTAATTCACGTAATTATTATTTAAAATTTTCTATTTAGAACACATTGGCAAGGATAACATGCTCCCTTGACATATATAGAATCCATCAAAATGTTTATGATTTAGAACATCCCAATTTAGACATTGCTAAAATCAAAGTTTCTTCAGTATAATACAAAAATGAATATGTAAAGGAAAATAGGAAAATTTCTATGTGTATAAAACAACATTATAATAATAATTATTTTATCTTTGATAAATAGCTATTAATATCTGTTACATTCTCAAGTAATCAAATAATATAGAGTAAAATTGATTTAAAACTGAATTTTCAAAGTAATTGACAAAAAAATACAATAAAATTTTTTATTTTTCAGAAATATCTAGAAATTATTGAAAAAATTAGTAAAGAAATTCCTTTAATGTTTATTTAAAAAAAATATCCGCACTACTATTCAGTAAAAAATTTCACCAAAATTTATTTGATGAAGATGTTCAAAAATTTAATCTTTGGATTTTGGCAATTATAACATTGTTAAAAAAATATAGCTTATTATTAGTCTTCACTTAAATACAGGCTCATTTTTATATTTTGCTTTGAAATAAATAGAAAATTTTTGTATGATAAATTCTTTTTATGATTGGGCAACACCACATAGGTGGGTGATAATGTAAGGCTCCAAAATCCCGGAGACATTTCAAAAGAGTCCCCTATGGTTTCAAATGAAATATGGCTTATTCCCCTTTTTTCATGGAAAAGGAATGGAAACATAGTTTGGTGCTCTATATAAATGGTTTAGATAAGCGTAAGACCATTTATATTATTTGAGCTTGGCAGATGTTCTTAAAACGTCTAAAATGCAATGCGCATTATCTGAATTTTTATGTTGGAACACCGCACGAGTTATCCGAGATCCTGATTAATATACTCTTAATGACAAATCATGATCCACGTGAAAATATCTTAAATCAAAATGCTACCTGCTTGGAATATGTATGACATAGCATTCTATTTTGATGCAAAGCTATCAGCGTAAAATAAAAAAACGTGAATAATAGCAATGGAATAATTTGAGACTACATATTGTTTTTCTTTAAAAATAACATAAAAAAAAAATATTATTTTTAAAATTGATTCTTAACTTGATTTCGAGACGTGTTTCGTTATATTACAAAAAATCGATAGTAAAGTTTTAGATTCTGTTGCATCTTGTTAAAACTTTATTCTCTTTGACTGTTTCGTAAACTATAAATAAATTGAACCACTTGAGTAACAAGACAAATCCCTTATATTGTATAGGTTTAAAAAAATGTTCAGTGGCATATTTCATTTTCGAAGATCCATTGCTTTAAGAAAGAAAAAGCCGCTTACAACCCGTTGTTACTGTACTGGAAAAGTGTATGTCGTTTGAGAAATAGCTTAAAGTATTAAATTGGGTCAGACTTTCAAGTTGAATTAACTACAAAGATATTGCTATACTAACTCATAATTAAAATCGATTTGTAAATGAATTATAAAACTATGAGTGATTGAACTTTTATTATTAGCAATTTATTATTAGAAAGCTTTTGAAATGCACTAGTAGTTCTTTTTGATTTCCCATTAATATAAAGTAATAAAATATTATTATACGAGTAATTTTTTAAGTATAGTTTAAATAAATTATGCTAAAAATTTTTAAACAGTTTATATAACTATAAGGTTTATAAAAATCAAAAAGCGAAATTATAGAGTTTGAATTATTTAAAATTAAAACGTATTGCATTTCTATCAACCTT